TTTCGTGTGGGTAAGAGTATATGGGGTACATCCGGTGTACATAACCGGTGTACCCATAGAATAATCTCATTTACTTATATGGAAAAAAATTCAATAGAAGTACAATAAAATGAGGTATTCTATTCTACACCAATCAAAAAGTAGATACACACATACACCTATGTGTATCTATTTTTCTTTGATGTAGAAATGCAATATTTCATTTTGTTCTACTCCTAACATTGTCCGAAAAATTGCCTTTCAATTTCATTTTACATTTAGTATTTTACATGAGCGAGCATAACCTAGTACATTTTAAAAAAAACACACAAATTTTTTAGTGCTTCTTCTATCTTAACACGTCTTTTTTGTTTCTGTTTATAAGATTTGATCAACTGTATTTTCAATTTAAATTATTTGATTGTAGGTGTAAAATAAAAAAGTAAAATTTATATATTTAAAAATTATATCAAAGTTCTAAAAAACAATATATGACAAGATTATATTCCGAGTATTATTTTATTAAATAATTAACTAAAATAAGTAAAAAAAATAATTGAAATATGACTAATTGAAAAGAACGTTTTAAGAGTTTTTTTTCTCAAAAAAAAACTACTCGTAACATTTTTGGGTTCCCGCACGATATCGCTCAGCTCACGGTCGCTCGGTCGCCGTTGCAGCCGCCGTTCACTCATCTCCGTTAACAGGTCAGTTGAGTAGAAAATTTCATTCTTTTATTGTTTTTACATGGTACGTATTTGTTTTGAGATTCATAGACGGCTAACAGGGTAACAAAATCTTGATTTTGAGTTTGATCATGATTTGCTTGTTATTTTCTTTCTTTTCTGCAAAAATAAAACAAAAGTCGTTTCTTTCTTTTCAAAAGTCGAATTGTGTTTGTTTTACTGTGAGGTTTGGTTTCTAAATTCTTTGCAATTGCTGAGATGTTGAATAATCATATGTATAAGCTCTCTCTCTTTTCTTTTCTTTTTTTTGTTGAGGAAAGCTCTCTTTGTATTGATTGCTCTGAGCGATTCTTTATTTAAATTATACTACGGTATTTAATTTGTAGTCAAAGAGTGTGAGACTTTTTGTCAAACTGTGATCTTTTAGGGAGGGAGAAAGTATGTTCTTAACCAATGGTTTGCATTTGTTTGTACAATATCAAACCAAACCGAACCCCAATTTTATCTTTGAGTTCCATCTTTGGTTTTGGGTAGAAACCGAACCCACCCCTACTCTGCGGTGCATGTATGGTTTCTAATTGAGGCCAATCTAAATTTCAATGCTACCCTATGTTTTTAAAGATTTGGATGACACATTTTTTCAAACGTGTAAAGGATAATTGAAAAGCTTCTGCACTCAAAAACATTTTTTGAACCGCTGTGTTATTTTTATAACATTTTTTGAACTACTGTGTTGTTTTTTAACTACTCAAAGATCACTTATATTTTTTTCCACCCAAAAGAGTACGGAGTATGTATTAGACAATTTTGGTAGCAATTGTTTTTAGGGATTTGGAAGCACATTTGAAATGTATGAAAAAGTAAAATTTTCTCAACAATGATTTTGAAAGTTTGTTTTTGTTTTCAAAAAAGAGGGAATGCTTGATTATGTAATGCCTTAGAAAACATAGTCATATGGTAATTTTTTTTCTCTTGCTTCTGTATATTTTCATGGCAAACTTCATTTTTTACTTGCTCTTAGACTGATAACGTTTTCAAAATGTGATGGCGAATTGTGCTTTCTACCAACAAAATAATGTAGGTGGAAAGACATTGTTGCTTGTGCTAGGTTAGTTTTGGATTAGTGTAACAGGATTTGTAGTCATTCAATCTAGGCATGGATCTTGCTTCAATTTCCCCTTATATTTCCTGCTCCAATTTCTCTCTTATCTTTGTATAGATAAAGATTATTTTTCCCCCATACTATGTCCATGGCTTCTTCATGTTTCTGCCCACCAAAACACGCCCTCTCCATATCCAGACCCAATCGCACCTTCCTCAGAGCCACTCCTCATGACTTTGCACCTCGGCTCCCCTCCTTCTGTTTTATACCTTCATCCTGCCGTTCGGTGTCCACTGCTGTGACTCCACTGAAGGTCCACGCAAGTTCAACAGTTCCTTTGATGGACTCGTCTCCTAGCAAAGCTTCTTCTTCGGTCCCAACGGTTGTTGAAGTGGATGTCGGTAACCGTAGCTACCCGATCTACGTAGGTTCTGGCCTCCTTGATCGACCCGAGCTTCTCCAAATGTAATTTGTCTATGTTTCCATAATTGAATTTTTTGTTTATGAAGCTCTGTTTCTGTAATTGTAGCTTAGTTCAGTTCTCTGTTTTGCCAAGTGTTTGTTTGTGCTTTATTGCAGGCATATTCACGGAAAGAGAGTTCTTATAGTAACAAATACGACAGTTTCTGCTTTATATCTGGACAAAACTATCAGTGCTTTAACATGCGGAAATCCTAATGTTCGTGTTGAAAGCGTGATCTTGCCAGATGGAGAACAATTTAAGAACATAGTAGGTGTCTTGTGACACGGTAGATGAAAGTTTGACTTGGGTATGTATGTTGGGTTTGACTTTTTTTGTGTGTAGGATACTCTCATGAAAGTTTTTGATAAAGCTATTGAATCACAAGGTGCATTCTCACAGGAACCAGCCCCTATATAACGATAGGATGCTCAGGGACAGCAACCCAAACGGGCAACAATAACGATTCTTCCTCCGATGTCCACTTTTGATGGATTCTGACATCTCGATCATTAGCTCGTCGGTCTTTGATTTGTGACTCTTCCGGCGTGCACTTTTTTTGGTGCACTTGGTTTCGGTTGAACCGATGGAACCAACTCTGGGTCCTCTAGATTCACTGAGGTGTGTGTCTCGAAAAACATCGAATTATTCCCGTACGTTTGGTGAAGCCACGTCGCATACTTGCTTTGCTCCAGACCGCACGAAGGAACACATGAACCGAAAGAATTTGTGATAGAAATAAGAGAAAATTTGAAGTTAAAGAATTCTTTTTTTTAAGAAATATGAGAGAGAGAGAGAGATTTGCATGTTTTATTTTTTAAAAAACTCTAAATTTAAATGCAATGGTATTATAATTGTTGGGAGGGGAGGGTGCGTTGTATTCGGCCTACACCATTAAAATCTTAACTAAAACGTTAACGCTGATAAATATTCTCCCCGTTTCGTAAACCACTTCCTCATTCATTTTCTTGTTCTTGCAAAACACTTTCAAAATTTATTAAATATTACCTTTACTTTTTTTAATCCTTTTTATCACATCCCCCACTTTTTTACTACTCCCTCCGTCCTATAATGATCTTCCCAGAGCACTATTCCAACTTCACGGGAATTTATATTTATCTGTGTTTTTTCATGGCCTATATGATAAAATAAAATATTCTTGTCACCACTTGTTTTGTTGAACTTTTGGTGTAGTTTTTAAATATGTATGTTTTATTTTTTATTTCTATACCAATATTCAAATAAAATAGATTGAAAAAACTTGGGATTTTTCTTCGTTTTGCAAACCGGGAAGATCATTATAGGACGGACTGACGGAGGGAGTAATAATCAATCTATCACATCTTACTTTTTTACCCATAATATTAAAGGTAAAATTAGAAAGTCAACCATAGATATACATTTCATATTTGTTATTTCTCCAAATAGTTTTAATTATCAATTAAAAGTGAGGGAGGAATATTGTTCCCAGACAGTCTTAATGTATATTAGTCTAGTATTTCTCACTCGAGTCCTAATGTTATTAATTTATACGAGTTTTACTGTATATTGTCATCAATTCGAAACATATTAATGTAGAATTAATTTTTTTAAGTTATAAGAATATAAGTGCTTGAAGTGTTATATATATATATATATATATATATATATATATATATGTATATATATATATAGTGTGTGTGTATATATATATATATATATATATATATATATATATATATATAGGGATACGTGTGTGTATACATCAACAAAATATTGATTCATAGATTGATTTTATTAATAAGTGTAAATATAATTGTAAATTTGGTAACTTCAAGATTTCTATTTTTTCATAAGGAAATTTTGAATTGCTCTCCAAATACTTTAATACTCATACTCCGTATTCCTCATCAACCATGAGTGATTATAAGCTAAGGTCTTGATTATTGTTTTCTTTATACTTCGAAGCATATATATTACATTTTTGAAAAAACCAAGGAGAATTAAAACTTACTCATCTATTGTAATTGTTTGTTTCATTTAAAAAAAATCACTTGCTTTCTTTGTTGATTGGTCCCTCAAAGAAAAAAATCAATCTTTTTTTAGAGAAAGCATTAAAGAGTGGCATTATTTCTTTCTTATCTTCATTATGTAAACATTATGAGCAATGCTAGGTTCACAAATAGAATACTCACAAACTTCACAAACTTACTATTTATGATTTGAAATTTTATTTTAAATCATTTTAGACCATTTAATTTTTTCCATGAAAGTTCACAAATAATAAATTTGTGAAGTTTGTGACCATTGTGTTTGTGAACCAAGCATTTCCCAAACATTATTAATTGATGATTAATTGAATATATATATATATATATATATATATATATATATATATATATATATATATATATATATTCTAAATGAAGCCTAATTTTGTTTTTGAGAGTAGATGTATGGTGATTCCTAACAAGATGATCATGACACTTTTGGTGAAAATGTTACTTTTCACATTAATATTGTTGCATGGAGTGGCAAGTGAATGTGACCGGAAAATATATTGTAAGTGTTATGGATTGTGCCACGAAGTCAATGCGGCACGATTTGGTGTGGATGATGGAATTTTGTTAATAGATGCATGCAGCACATTCTGTTATCGTATAGTAAATCCTGAATGTCGTTCGATTTCCTTTGATTGCCCATGTGCTGTTGGTGACCCATACTACGCATAATGTAGAGCTAGTAATAATGAAAGCCATATAAATTTACGTTATAATGAGTTATTGATCTAGAGAGATATTTAAGAATATTTGAATTGAATTATTTGAATATATATTTAAAATATGAAAATAATGCATCAGTACGTTTTCTAAATATTACTACAACATTCTATATTTGAATAATCTATATATTGAATATATGCACTATTTGTTTCATATATTCTATATGAACGGAATATATATATTTAAAATATGAAAATATACCATCTTCTTATTATGGCTTCCCCCTACCGGCCCCCGGGCCCATTTTTTAACTAATGTAGCTCAAACACTTCTCATGACATTGGGAACAAATGTCATGGAATGACTTGGAGGCACTCCGGTGTCTCGTTCATAAAATTGACGGTTCCTACCCCACCTAATCCTCCAGGTAAACCCCCTCCCACCCCGTCCCGACCCGAACAAACCCCCCACCCCCTTCAATTGCACCCCACAAGTTGATTTTGACTTTGGAGTCAAAATTTCACTCCAAAGTCAAAATCAACTTGTGGGGTGCAATAGATGGGGGTGGGGGGTTTGTTCGGGTCGGGGCGAGGTGAGGGGGTTTACCGGGGGTTAGGGGGTAAGAACCGTCAATTTTACGAACGGGGCATCGGAGTGCCTCGGGTCATCCCATGATATTGGGAACCAATGTCATGGGAACCTTGGTGCTTCTACAAATACAAACTCCCTCTATCTAAAAAGAATCTTTCCATATATTGTGGGATATGATATTTGACTTTTTTTTTCAAATCATTTTATATAAAAAATATTGTGAAATTAAAAAATAAAATTTACATATTTAAAAACTACAACAAAAGATCTAGAGCTAACATAATTATATTATTTTATCAAATAGGCATTAAAAATAAATCAATAAAGTGAATACAATTTAACACTAAAAATAATGGACGGGAAAATTATTTTTGGTCGGAGTAATTATTCTAGAGTGCAATTTATTTTGCTTCTCACATTATATTGTGTCAATAGATTTTTCCACATAGAGGTTCTTCTTTTTATGGATCTTATCATTTACTGTAGATAATTAGTCGTTTTTTAATATTTAATGATGAAAATTAAAAAAGTTGATTGCAAAATTTAAAAGATACTCTCTCTATTCGTTACATCTTGTTTTATACTCCGTAAATAATTTCAAAAGTTGTAGTATTTTATCTTGTAATTCTCATTTTGAAATTAAAATTGGGACAAAGGGTGTAGAAAAATATGGAATGGAGAGAGTTTTTCTTTGGTCCGTCCTTTCAATTTGTTTCTAGATCTAATCTGATTTTAATAAGAATAAGTAATAAATATAAAAATAAGTCATACGTACAGAACAGGCTCTCAATAGAGGAAAAAATAAATCGGTACAGTGAGGAAGACAAATAGTAAATTGGGAAGATAAAAAAATAAAATGATGAACAAATTATCAAATTGTAACATAGTATCAAAGATACAAGCTTACCACACCTATCGCGTTATATCTATTCATTAGTAATCTACTCGTTATATTCCCTCTGTTTCACAACTCTTCCCCTTTCGTTTTTTTTGAATTCCCTAAAACACTTCCACTTTCTATTAAAAAACCACTTTTATTCTTACTTTTTCATACCCTACCTATCACATCATACTTTTTCACTAATAACCAAACTATCACATCTTACTTTTACCCATCACATCAGGGGTAAAATTGGAAAGTCAACCAAAATTACACTTTTTTTATTTTTGTCCAAAGTCAAAAGTAGAAGGGTTTAAAATACGGAGGGAGTATATATGTTTTAATGAGATAAGAAAATGATGAGAAAGAAAATGATAAAAAAAAATGATAAGAAAATGGGAGAAGAATAATTGTTGTTTAGATGACAAGAAAAATATGATAAAAGTGAAAGGAAAAAAATTATTTTAATATATTTGTCTTTGATATCATTTTTTAATTGATCTCTTCATTTGATCACAAATTTTAAAAAAGTGAAGTTATGAGGCGAAAGTTTTATTTATGAAGAGGGAAATAAAAGAACAAACACAAGAGCACACTAAGTATTCCCTCCATTTCAATTTAGATTTCAAATTAAGAGTTACGAGGAAAAAATTTTCATCTATTGAAGTTATTTTATTTATAAAATGGCACATATCAATAAAAACCAAAAGTTTTACAAATAAGTGATAATAAGAATGCTTCTATTTTATCAAATAATGAATAAAATACACAAATATGAAAAGGGGGCGGCGTTTAACGTTCTCGCACAAATATGAAAGAGTTACTAGCTAGATTGGTTCACAAGACAGTACTATTGTCGAATCATATTGAAAGATTGAATCCAATTGATTAATTACTTCAACTCAAGATCTGATCTTATATATCTATTATTTTCTTCTCATTTTTCTAATGTGGGATAGATATTCTTTAATATTTTTAATTGGTGCTTGTTTTTATTTTTCTTTAAAATACTCAAATTTAAATCTTATGCATTATGCTGCATGTGGAAGCATGGGCAAAAACGTCACTTCAAGTTTCTCTAGATTTCTAATGTTTGAGTTTTTATGTCTGCAATTAATTAGGGGTATGTAGCTGAGCAGGAAGAGACTATAATTGTTTTAGGGAATGGGCGCTGTAAACTAAGAGGAGAATAATAATGAACGAGGAAAGAGTTGAGAAGATGAAGAAATGCATTCACAACTCTTTGCTAATGGGGATGTTTTCTTCCATTCTCACCTTTTTTTGCAGCATATTTGTGTCCTTTCTATTTTCTGCTAAGTTATTTAAGTGTATGTTGGGCAAAAGAAAGAACTAATTTGTGGTGTAAAGAAATCCATTTGATTTTTTTTCTTTTTTACTTGCTTGGAACTTTTTTCATATGTTCCATTATCAACAAAAATTAGGAGTAAATTTATATGTCTGTGGGCGTTGTGCGATTAAGAGCGCCGGAAATGGTGCTAACGCCCAAAGGCGTTAAGAGTGTTTTAACGCACGGGGATGTTAAATGCCGCCCCCCTCTACTGTCATCCGGGCATTTAAGGTTTGACGCAACACCTCTCCCTCCCCCAACGATTCTCTCTCCCCCAACGGCCATAATTTGGATCGTTAGGCATTAATTTAAAAAAAATATTTTCAATACTATAAACACCCCTTTATTTGTAACACAATAAACACAAATAGCTTATTCACAATTCTCTTCATAATTCTACTAAAATATATTCTATTTCTTTTAATTATCTCTACAAATTATTCGAAAAAAGGGATCATCATCTAACGATGAAAAGAGAGCTCTCATTTTTCGTTATCAATGGTGGCAACAAGGCCAATGGGAAGATATTTTTATTCTCTCAAATAATCACTAATTTCTTCGCAATGTAATGTAACTTAATTTGTGTTCTTATTATTCAAATCTTATTATATTAATGTAATTTTTTTATTGAATGTAATTTTGAATTGTTGTCGTTTATATTCAATTAAATAATGAAATCTTGTTAATTTAATTTTAGAAGAGTGTATTAAAAAATATACAAAATAGAGGTTTCAAGCCCCAGTTTGAAGCCCTGGGCTTCAAACACATTTCTAGTGAAGGTGTAAGTTAAATCAAATAAAACTTTAACACATCTCAATAAAATAAATATAATAAATCATTTTTATAGTAATAAACATTACAATTTTATTTTATTGAATCTCAAAATTTATTTAATTTGACATAAAAAATAAAACTGAGCTGGTCAAATATACTGGGATGAAGGGAGCATATCCTTTTACATGGATATTCCTCTATGTGTCAAAGGTCATTTTTAATTTACTCCTATCGTTTCGATTTTAATTACAATTTTATTTTCTCTCTTCTCTCGATAATTTTTTGATAAAATAAAATATTCTTATCATCTCTTGTTTTTGTAGAACTTTTGACGTAGATTTGTAATACGTATTTTCTATTTCTTATTGATGTACCAATTTGTAAATAAAATAACCAAAAAATTAATATTTTATCTTGCAATTCCCAATTTGTAATCAAATTTGAAACGGAGTGAGTATTTTTTACATGAAGCCTTTTTCTTATCAAAAGTTGAAATGAAACAGATATACTCTAAAGGGTCCGTTTAGTACAAAAAATTTACAGAATTGGATTTGAATTGAAATTAAAATTCTATGGAATTGAATTCTCCAATTCCAATTTATTTTTTTGCACTAGTTGGGTAGTGTTTTAGGTCTTAGATTATGTGTTAAAGAGTATGGCATCTATAAGGTTCATTCCCTTATCATCTTACCTTTAAAACTCATTTTAGATCAGCCTTTGTGTGGGGAAGTTGCCTTTCTATTTGAATAATCTTTAGTTTATTCGAATAAGTCGTGATCTTTCCTGTGACTGAAAGTAACCTGTTTTGTTCGAACAAATCACCATTTATTCGAATAAGTCTTGGCTTTTCACCCTGATTTATTCGAATAAATCACCATTTATTCGAATAGAAACTGGTTTTTCAAGTCACGTGATTGATCTAAACTATTCGAATAGTTCTTGAGGTATTCGAATAAGTCGACAGTTTCAACTACCAAACGGCTAGTTTTTTGAATTCTTTTCATCTCTATCCACTCCCTAACTTCTATAAACAACCCTCTTCGTGATTATCTTGATAAGAACACTAAGAACACTTTGAAGAACATATCATTTGAATATCCAAAGAGATTCTACTCAATCACCTCCTTATATCCAAGCAAGGCAATTGTTTTGATTGCTAAATCATTTCTTGCTTGAGTTTTTCCTCATTGCTTGAGTCTTTGAGAGATATTGCCATATTCTAAAGTAATTTATTGTATTTGCAACAATCTACTCCGTGTTGGAAGAATTACTCGGTTGCGGTTTGTTTTCTTACTTTATTGTAAGGGATTTGTATTTTTAGTGTTGGGATTACACCAAGTGGTAGAAATCCTAACGGTTTGTGAGATCAAACGTTAGGTGGAAGAAATCCTGAGTTTTGTGAAATCAAAACTTTGGTGGTAAGATAAGAGGCTTGTGAAATCAAGTTCTCGAGTTGTATTCGGATTGTCAAACTCCGTTAAGTTTGACGGGTTAGTGAAGGCATGGGCACGATTGCTTCGGGGACTGGATGTAGGCATTTAGGCCGAACCAGTATATATCGTGTGTGCATTGCTCTTATTCTTCACTTTATTTTGTTTGTGGTGCATTGTTTTTATTGAATATTCGTGAAAACATTTTCGCGCAAAAAACTGGTCTTTTGGGCAAAACCTCTATTCACCCCCCCTCTAGAGGTGTGCGAGGCGTCTAACAATTTATTTGTTCATATGTGTGAGAGTTTTTTCTGTTCGGGCTTTAATGAATTCAATCACCGGACAAACTCATTGGGTTGGTGTTACGTTGTATAGTGTATTACTCTCTCTGTCCCGCTATATTTGTCCACTTTTGACTTTTGGAACTGTTCATCTAAGCACTTTGACTCGTCAAATTCTCTCAATGTGTAAGCCTAAATATAGTCATGCGTGATCTTGTTTGATTTGTCTTAACATATAGATTATTAATATATAATTTCTATAATTTTTTAATACACAAATTACAAGATAAAATGGATTAAAGAAGTGTATTGGATGGTGTGCAAAAATGAAAGTGGACAAATATAGTGGGACGGAGGAAGTATTTCTCTTGTAAAATTAGAAGTCGATGAAATGATGTAAAAGGCTAGGAACTCCATTAATAGCTCCAAGCTGCTACAATGATGTATACATGTAAATTTCCTTAAGATTAATAAAAATTTCTCCTTTTGGCATGGCACTGCCCAAAAAGGTATGTGGTTTTCTCCTGATTTGAGTTTACACGTATAAATACTTTCTTTCTGCTTTATTTATTTATTTATTTTCCAAATTTCGTTGTTCGGTGCGGTGCATACCCAGTACCGAGTTTGTCCGGTCGACGCCCCGAAAAATATTATTGACTCTTTTACAAGGTAGTATCTGTTTATATTATTATCGACTTAATGATGCAAAAAGAATCAATGCTTCCACCTCTGTGAGGTTTAAACTTGGGTGAACTTTTCCTAAATCGGGAGGCGTAGGTTTCCTGCCACAGTGCCACTCTATGTTGTATTTTAAAGTCAATGCTTTCTATTTATATTTCTAAGCGTCAATGGACTTTGTAGAAAGAGTTTTGTTAATATTTTGAAGGTCATTGATTTTATATGAATGATTTCTATTAATTTTAATAAGTTCATAGACTTTTATTTGGACAAAAAATATTTATAGGATCGAGTAAAATGTATTGATAAATGCTTCTTTTATATCCATGGTTTTTATATTAAGGCCCAATGTAACCAGAAAAGTTCAACTCTCAATATTAAAGAGAAGAAAGGTTCAACCAAGGAGAAAAAGAAGTAAAAAAAAAAAAACAATCTTGAATTACATGTCTGAAACTGAAAGGATTCCACCCTAAAAACATGTCACCCAATATGCTTACACATACAGACACAACTCTTCGATAAATCTGGATCCTGGGATCAAATAATGTGGTGTGTATTTCATTCACACTATGTTTTTTTTAGATAAAAAAAAACATTCACACTATGTTTACACACTGAAAGAATGTCTTTTTGTTTACCTCACTTTCATCACTCTGCCATTGGGAAAGCAGACCCAATTTTGTCTCCCATGCGATAGCACTTGATGTTAACATAGTACGGACCGATCTCAACGTGGTTGTCCTCCCCTCCCACAAAGAAACACAGAGTATAGAGCGCGAGTTCAAACTCTGGGCTCACTCCCACCAAAGTGCTCGACACCGATTTCAGTACGCCGTTCCATTCGAACTGAACTGTCAAGAGCTGAGTCTCCAAGTCGGGCTGAGAAACGATTAGGAGAGAGAGAGAGAAAAAAAATAAGAACCTTTTAAATGTACCGATAGAGGGAAAGAAACAAGATCGTCACTTACAATTTGTCCTCGCCTTTGAGGAAAAATGTATCCTTGATAATCTACATTGCCCTTTGCTTCTTCCAGATAAAACTACAAAGAACAAAAAGAAAGTCTTTGAGATTAAAGTGTTGAAGAGGGGGTTAATTGGAATGGTTGGATCACCATTTATTAATAATTTTAAGTAGAACGGTGGAGTATATAATAATTTTACCTGAAGCCAATTATGGAAGCCAGAAACTTCTCCCCCTCCACGCTCCTTAATTTCTCCAACAAAAACATGTTCAAAAGCGGAAGAAGAGCCAGATGTACCACCTCGGCCATAAAGGTCAAACCAGAGGCTTGTCAACCTTTTCTTGAACTCATGATAACTTTCAGAAACCACGCCTTTTGCAGACAGATACTTGTGTAAATATTTTATAGGGGCAGTTCTACTGATCTCTTCGACAAATGCCAACTGCTCTTGCTGTTCTTGAGCTGTTACAACTTCTTTATATCCCTCGTGCGGATTGTAGTTATCTAAAAGAGAACAAAATCGAGAAAAAGTAGGCTTCTGCAGAGCATCTTCACTAAGCCAGGAAAACAAGCTTCCATCTGCCATATCCTCCCTTTGGTGCACCTTTTTTCCTTCGCCAACATCAATCTGGTAATCCTTTCCTGGAACCAAACGATTTACATCGAGTTCCCAGAGTTTGTTACAAGCTTTTGATAGGTTGGCAAGCTCTTCTCCCGAGGGATCCAGGTCAGCACCATATTCAACCTCATTGGAGTAGTCTTGCTCACTAGCAGGTTTCTTGTAATTGTCCCAGTGATCCATATGTACCTGTTCAGAATTAAAGTTTAATGAGTAATAAACAACAACCCAGTCGAATCCCACAAGAGTAGGGCTTGGTGAGGGTGTGTGTACGCAGACCTTACTCCTACTCGAAAGTAGAGAGGTTGTTTCCAAAGAGACCCCGGGCTCAGCGTCGAAAAATTGTGTTAGAGTACATCCCACATCGGAAACTCCAAGAGTAAAATAATCGGTATATAAGCTCTAGAGTTGAACTAACTAATAGATTGGATCCAATCTTTTAATGCGGTTCAACCCAAGTGTCTTATTGCCCAATCCAGTTGTCCATGCCCATCCCAAATTCTATCATGGTATCGAAGCAGGTTTTGGCCTACCTCGTTTGTCAAGGTATCCGTCTAGACGTTCATTCCTAGCGGCCCGTTAGTCTTTAGCCCAGTTGTTCGTACCATACCCAGCGGCTCGTGGTCCTTTAGGTGTTGGCGCTGAACTAAGTAATCGATTGGATTCAATCTTTTAATGTTGTTCAACTCAAGCGTCTTATAGCCCAATTCAGTTATCCATACCCCATCCTAAATTCTATCAAATTGCATTGACTCATTAGTTTAAGAAGCGCACGCAGTTTAAAGATCCATTTTGCTTTATTCCATCACACCCCAAAGCCAAAAAAGAGTGAATTTTTGGCTCCATCGGAGATGATGGAAATAAAAAAACTAAATTTATTTATTTTCTTGTAGAATATATATCACCAAACCTGCAGAAAAAACCTGCTAAAAGAGTGATAACTCGTCCTGATGCCCATATCATATACTAAGTAATAAACCCTCTTATATTTGCATTGTTTTATCACCAATAAGTATCTCTATGTTTAAACCATAACCAAACATGAGATAGATCTAAAAATGTCTAACCATGACTAATTACTCAATTTAATAATTCAGTATGCATCTTGGCTAGGAAGATCGTTTAGCTTTTGAATTATGAATCATTGATTTGACTTGGAATGCGTGCTCAAGTGTTGATTCTATTTTCTGAGGACACGCTGCAGGTCAATGCTGGCTATAGAAAGTGTTAGTGCAAAGTACAAAGAATAGATCTTAAATGGTATTTCCAGTAGAAAATTTTCCACTTCTAGTCCCACGACTATGAGGTCATTTTCATTTTTGGTCTCCGACTTTCAATTTGTTCACTTTTTTGTGCACAACTCTAAATTTCCTTGCTTTTGGTCCTTCCAAACTGGGTGGGAACCTTTGAGGCACGGGGATAATGTTGTTGTTGGTCCTTCTAACTAGGTATGTAATTAGGAAGGAGAAAAAGTGGCAAGAAATTCATAGTCATGCACCAAAAGTGGGGAAAAATAAATAGCAGTGCCAAAATAGGAATGACTTAATAGTTTTGGGACTAAATGAGTAAAGTTTTCGTTTAAGTTACTCAGCACAGATATAAAGAGCAAACTGTGCCTTTTTTTGTACTCAACCTATTTTTCATATTATTGTTGTAGTGAATATTTTGGTATGAATACCTATGCGTGTAAGTTGTAACGTGTACAAAACTTTTTTTCGTATGTATTTTTTGAGCTAAAAAGGTATTATACATATAACATATTACATAAAACTAAAATAGATTGGTGAAGTTACATAAGACACTTCAGCACTTGAGTTAAGGATAAGTGACCTAAAGAGAGGATGATAGAGAACCTTTTGTTGTCTCTTTGAAGTCTTCTTGTGAACATTTTCCCAGCCCTCACCATTTGCCTGGTCAACCTGCACAGATCATTTGGGACTTCTTAAGACAATTGCCGGCTACACATAACAAATATGACTTCTAAATATACAACACCTTTTCATTCATATGGATTTGACCATAAAAATCCTGCACTCTCTCTTCATATCCTTGATGGGGGTTGACATTATTCTTCTGCCTGCTGTCTTCATATCTTTCACGGTGCTGGCCAGAATTGCCCTGCATTTTTCGAATGAGTAAATACCTAGAATAATCCATTATCCATCAAAGATATACATTTTCCAATTTTTTAAATTTGACCAACACAATCCCCTAGTTTTGTCCTGTCTTTTGTTGACCTGATGCACAAAGATTATTTAGGGACGATAAAAAAACAAAGTAAATTAAAAGTGGACCGAGTATATCCCAAATCAGCATTTAAAAAACGGGGGCATGCACGCACACACAAATTATAGCTTAACTGCATTTATGGACAAACAGGGATGACTCAAAGCCATGAAATGTTTTAAACTTCATATATCTCCAAATCAATTATGATAAGGCTACATTTGCCAACCAGTTGGTAGTTGTTGGATATTGCATTGGTTGTTTTAAGTCGCGGTTCGGGTCAGATGTTTTAGGTAGTTCTTTAATTTGTGTCACTTGTGTTTGAAAACATGTTTGGTCAAAAGGAGTTGTTGAAAGAATTCCTAATATAGCGCTATTTTATTTCGTGAAACAAGCTCAAATGCCTTAATCTTTAGTCTCCCCCGGCGGAGCTTAACAGACTTGGTGCCAGCAGAAGTGTTGTGTCATAAATATAAATCTAATTTGAATAGATAAATTACTTATTTTTTTCCCTTACTTTTTTATCATGATGTTTTTTTAATGAAAAGAAGCTTTATTTTAAAAAAAACCGAAGTACTATGATGTCATTTTATATTTTTATAATTTACAGTACAGCAAAATTGCTTTTTTATAGCCAAAATAAACTTATTTCTAAAATAAGAAATCAAATACACTATTTTGTTGCGAAACGTGACCTAGAGACTGGTTGTTTGGTTCATACTTCATAGGAGGGAGTGAGTGTATTTTAAAATAACCAAAACAGCTAGCATTTTGGATAAAATTTTAACGTTGCAGATTATTTTGAAAACACTAACCGTTAAACGTTGTCTGCAGATAATCTACAACGTTATTCTCAAACAGACCCTTACTCATTTTAAATTACTCATAAAAAACAAAGTAGTCCAAAAAGATGGCAGCCAAACAGGTCATTAAACCGTTAGAATTCCTCTTTTACTAAAGACTCAGGCATGCTATGCTAAAAAACGAAAACGGAATACCTCTCTTCGATAACCATGACCGCGATCGCCGTTGATCTCGTCTTCATCCTGCTCCCCTGACACCACCTGCGCAGAATAGCATCCGCAATCGAACATCGGAAACGAGGCGATGGAGAATTTGAAACAGGGGAGGAGGAGCACTAACCTGCGCCCAAGTGGATCTGGATCGTTCGTCATCGCGATCGTCTGAAGTGCGGCGATCGCCTCCGTCCCCGTCCTCGTTGCCCAATGCTATGTTAATCAAACCCTTCACCAGTCCTTCCATTGATGTGTCTGTTTAGAGAGAGTGAAGATTTTGTGGGTGGGAGAGATGAAGCAGTAGTGATGCAATGTCTATCCAACATTAATGGGTCGTTGAAAATGGATGGGGAAATCCATTGTTGCGGTAGGTTTGTTAGGTACTCCTGAAAAATCAAAAAATTGGAGTAAAAAATAAAGAAACCATGCTTTACTTACCCCACAAATTGTATTCTACTAGTACGTCAGAGTTTTACACAAACATTTTGATGGTTTACACAGACATAAGTATTGGTGCATTAACAAAAATTTACACAGATACAAAATGTTAATGCATTAACAAACATTAGTTTTGCACCAACACTTTGTGTTGGTGCAAACCTGCGGGATACAAAGTGCGTACAAAAACTTAGGGTACAAATAGCTTTATCCAAAATAAAGATTAAATTCTACTCAACATAACATAGACATAAATGTTTGTAACTTTGGATATCTTAATAATTTTCCTAGTTAGAGAGTAATTTTCCTAGTTAGTGTACCTAGTGGCAAATCTAAAAAGCAAAGTAATTGGGTACAAGAATACTACGGGGAAAGAATACTAATGGGGACAAAAACATGTAGTCGTGTACCAATCTCTAAAATATTTCTTTGAGGATATGTGAAATAATAAAAAACATAGTCCGTGGAATTTTTTTCTCTTTTCAGTTTTTTCCATCACAATAAGTCCTATTATATACTCCGTATTAAAGAGTTATTTTTATCTCTAGTAATTTTTATTATATCTATCGCATCACATATATTCACCGCTAATTTATCATCACAATCTACTTTTATTAATCACATCAAGAATAAATTAGAAATGTAAAATTAGAAATATCTCTTTTTAATTTTTAATAAAGTCAAAATATGAAAGAAATTACATGACGAAGAAATTAAATTTCTTGTGAAACAAACAATCAAATAACTAATAAGAAAGTTTTGACAATATTCCATAATTTCTTTAGAGTACTCTCAAAATTTTCCCATTAATTTTTTGTGATATATTTGTGAATCTATGGATAGAGAAGAAGAAAAGAGTAGTGTGGTGGAGAAGAAGAAAGGAATGTGTGTATTGAATCCCCCCCTCCCCCTCTTAGGGTGTATAAATAGGGGTATGGTAGAGTTAGAGTTTATGTCCTAACTAATATACGAAACTAATGGGTCAGTCCAACAAACTGGGTCGCCCCTAATAAGTAAACAATATATGGCTAGCGAGCTGATCCAATAGGCTGGATTATCCAAACTAATATTCTATGGTATCCATCATGAGTCTCATACTTTCCGAGTCAAGAGGAACTCGAGCCGAAGTGGAAGTAGAACAATAATCCACCACAGAAGGACATCAACTTCTTTGCTGTCTAGAATGCAGCACCAACTCGTTGTTCTAAGTATGACAAGTAAGATAATTATGCCAATCTTCATGAAGTGCTACGAGCTCGCTCTCCGGAGTGGTAAGGAAAAACTACACCAATCAATATGAGGTGCACTGACGATTCGATGTCTTGAGTGGTAGAGAGAGACCGCACCAATTAGTATAAGGTGTGCCGTCGACTTGTTATTCGAAGTGACAAAGTAAAAAAACAACATAATCTGCTCGTTGTCTTGAAAGGATCTTCTATTGCACAAAGTACATTGTCGACTCACTGTCCTAAGCGCAACGAGCATCATAAGAGTGGATGAAGAAATCTTCATATGTAGTTCGTTTGTCATCTTCAAGGATCCGCCCACAATTCCATCAATACGTGATCCACTCCATGGAGGGATGCCTTGTTACAAACTTGCCGAGGAAAAAATCCACGAGGATGTGAAAAATGCTGGTCAATGAAAGAGTACATCACCTCCAATAAGGTGAATCAAGAAAAACATCGTTAGGGTGTGAGGCATTCGAGTAAAAGGAAGTTGGGTGAATCTGAGAAGAGCTGATTTCTAAAATCCCCAGACTCGTTGTCTAGAGTTGAGGGGTATTCTCCATAATGCATTGGCAAAGAGGGCATGTTGATATAAACTCATATAGTGCGATACAAGGGTGGGATATTGATTTGCCAAGCTCTCATGATGTGGGATGTAGCAATATAATCACGAGCTGAGCATCTAGAGTCCCCCACTCCCTAAGTTGGGGAAGAATTTCAAGGTGAAGGGGAGTAGTGCTCATGGATCGGGCGAGAGTCTCTAGTCCCCTCATTTTCAAAAGTGATGTTAATATAATTTACTAACGTAAATATGAATCGTGTAACGCATATATGTGATACTAGTTTTTTCTAAACAGCCATTTAACATAACGAAAAGTTATCAAAGAAATACTCCTTAACCTTTAGTTAATTCCAATTATTAATGGAGTACTATCGAGTAATTTGAAAAAATATGTACTTTATCAAGAACAATATTTTTAGGATAAAAAAGTGATTGCGGAATATAAAATTTTTAGAATTTACCTAGGAGTACATCAATAAAGGATATCTCATTTGTACGTCAAACTAACACAGACACATAATGTTTGTGCAAGTTGATCAGTGCAGGCACACACATTATATGTCCATATATGTACTCCATCCGTCCTGGAGTATTCTTCTAGTTTTGACTTTTGGAACTGTTCATCTAAACACTTTGACTCATTAAATTCTCTCAATGTGTAAGTCTAAAGTCATGTGTGATCTTGTTTGATTTGTCTTAACATATAGATTATTAATATATAATTTCTATAACTTTTTAATATACAAATTACAAGATAAAATGGATTAAAGAAGTGAATTGGATGGTGTACAAAAATGAAAATGGACAAATACTTTGGGACGAAGGTAATATATGTTACTCACTCCGTCCCATGAAACCTTTCTTCTTTCTTTTTTTATCCGTCCCACAAAACACTTCTCATTTCTATTAAAAAGTCACTTTTACCTTTTACTTTTTCATACCCTAACTATCACATCATACCTTTTTACTAATAATTTATCCATCAAATCATACTTTTTACCCATCACATCAAAGGACATTTTTGGAAATTCAATACCAAAATACACTCACTTAAATCCCTCCTAAAAAGCAAATGCCTCATGTTTCATGGGACGGAGGGAGTAGTTTGGTATGCAAATGAATACCTCCCATGTTGGTATACTCTTCCCAACTTTTCCATACCGGCTCGATTCTACTCGGCCCAATGTCGAACCACCCTCAGGTTGGTTATCCATTCCCACGCGATGACTTGTCCTCCTAAATGTCATCCCTCTTTAGCGGCACTCTCAATCCGTCTTCAGCCGCACGCCGCCGCCGGAAGCGCCCCTCTTTATAAACGCATACACACACGTTAAACTGTTGCATACCCGTAGTCCCGTACCAATCTCAACCCTAATCCGAGCCCGCCTCTGGACGAATCCCTAATTTCGCATCGCATCCAAACAATGGATTCTCAGGTCAACAATCTCTACGACACCGCGTCGCAGCCGGACACCGGCAACGACGACGCCTACACGTTTCTCGAGTTCAATACTCAAGGCGAGGACTTCGATTACCCGGAGTTTCGCGAGCTTTCCCAGCCTATTCGATCGCCTGCGTGGCCCACGCCATCGGATTCCTTGGTCTCGGATTCTGCTGCAGACAGGCCTCCCTCCTCGGATGCCTCGCCGTCGGCTAAATCTCGTAGTGATGGAGCGGGGAATGGCGCCGGTGGAAGTAGTAATAGTAATAGTGGAAGTCACCAGGCTGCCACTGTTGATGCCTTGGTCGCCGGGATGAGCGGATTGAACTTTGAGGAGACTGGAGATGAAGAGGGTTTTGAGTACGGAAAGGGGAATTTTGCAGTGGAGCATGCTTGTAGATATTGTGGTGTCACGAATCCTGCTTGTGTTGTGAGGTGCAATGTGCCATCTTGTCGCAAGTGGTTCTGCAATTCCAGAGGAAACACTTCTGGATCGCATATTGTCAATCACCTAGTAAGTTTAAAAGGAGATGCAACCCTTTATGCCTGATATATTTTGCTCTCTTGATGCCCTGAACTGGTTTCTTGGCCACTTCTGTTATAGGTTGATCAGTGCAGCTTTGAATTTAAAATAATGGGTTTCCTTATTATACTTTTCCTCATCATTTTATGGTGTACTATCTCCTTCAAAATAATACTCCGTATTTCTTTTACACCCTTTTTCATTTTCATATTTATAATGTGATGCTCGGGTGTTGAGTCAACTAGGGTAAGTGAAATGCAAGAGCACCTGAAATGTTTCCATGTAGATATACGTTAGCACAGTTGTAACCTGAACAACATCAGACATCCTATAATTCTTCTTTTAATCTGCACATTTTTTGAGCTTAGGAAGTTTTGTGTAGTTACTTAAGTATCTGGCAGGGCAGGGATTCAAAAAGTGATTATGTAGTTTAAGTTTAAAAAATAGATTTCAACATCAAGAAATGCTTATTTGAATGGATGCACTGTTTTACGTTGGCAGCTGCAATGTGTCATGGCCTTGCTTATGCTTTCTTCACAGCTTCCCTAGTTACATTGAATCTACTTACTACTCGTGGTTCTGAGATCCCTTCTTATAGTATCTGATTCAACTTATTAAGAATGTTGTGTATACCAAGCTAGAATTTGAATGTTAATTAACTGTAGATAATGGTTTGGAGCTTTGGGAAAACAAATGTTCTCATTCCAAAATACCATTTTGGTGAAAGTTTTGTCGAAAAAACTGTATATATTGCCACTAATGTACTTAAGGATAATGCTTGGATATGAAAATCTTTCTCTGATTCTTAAGAGACTTGTTACCCGTGAGCTAATGAGATCCTTTGTGATGGATTTGGCTATTACAGAATTGGTCGTGAAGGCCCGTGATAAGCAATATATGGTCTGTATCATTAGTTTTCAATTCTGGGATTTTGCAATGTGAAGTGTGCTGCTACAGCTGGAATTGGTTTTAATTTTTTTTTAAAAACTAAATATTTTCCATTTCCAAAGTTGGGGAAGCGTAGTATGTAATCAATGTCACGAAATGCTCAAATGCCGATAGAGTGTGGCCAATATTTCGCCATAGTGTTGCCATAGGACAATATTCTTCAATCTGCACAAATTGCCCCATGGTGTTTGACGCAAAAAATCCCATGCTCACAATTTGTGAACTGTTAAACAGAATTAAAGAATTTCTAATTCATTTGCTCATTTACATCTTTTGTAAAGGGCAGTGCTTTGG